GTCACAATTTTTTGTGAATACGGAATTTCATTTCATGATACAATTAATACAGTAACGTGTCAAATTATTTTAGCAATTGCAATTTAGTCGAGTATAGTAAAATACTAAATGAATTTTCCAGTTGATTTAGAAGAATTTAAGTCTTTGTTTAAAAGTATTGCAATTTGCATTGGTCCTTACAATCCAAGTCATTGTCTAAATAATGTATTATAGGCCTAGCTAAAAAGTCATACTAGAATTTTTTACTAGGACTTTTAGTAAGGTCAAACATATAGTTGATAAGGTTGAGGGACCATATAATTTAAGGATTATTGGATATATCCTAATGTGTGACGTCATCGACAAAGTCGAATTAAAGTGAAGAACTGATAGATTTTTAGGCTGATAAGCTTCATAAATTTTACATATGTTTTTGGGTTTGATAATGGCATATATAACTTGAGAGAGAAATTTGTGAGATTTATTTGATCAAAACAGAAAATACGTATTAATTATATGCTTGGATCGTGAGTCGTGACACAATGAACCTGATTCAACTATTTACTAAGTCAAGTAAATTTATATAGGGAAACTGTAGACAAGTAGTACCAAAGTATGTGTGCATTTAATAAGTTCTAGGTCAAAGAATTTAAATTGGACCAGTATGTATTGTATTATATTATATTAAATTTTATAAGGCAAGGTATTATCTGAAGGGGGAAGAAGAAGTATAAAATAATTAAGTGGGTCTGAAGGGGCATTTGATTATGAGATCATTTATATTTAATTAGTAAATTATTTTATGTTTCTTTAATTAATATATTATTATGGCCTTGTGGGTAGGGGTGTGCAAAAATCGATTTAACCAATAAACCGAATCGAAAAAAATACTATTGGTTTATTGATATTGGGTTATTGGGCTAACAGTTTTTAAACGGTTTTGCAAATTTTATTATTGGGTTATTGGTTTGGTTTCCGGTTTTATGATTTTTGTTAATGGTTAAACCGATAATCCAATAAGACTATACTAAATTTACTAGTCTTATTGTTAATGGTTAAACGATTGTTACTTTCACACTTTTTCCTTTGAATGTGTCTAGTGTCTAAACTTGCAAGAAAAATGATTGTTACTTTTATGATTATTACTTTCATGCCAAATGCTGGAAAAATCATATGGTTTATATGAAAATTTTCTTATCGTGTATATAATATATATGAGTATTTTCTTATTGGTTAAACCGAAAACCGAACCGTTAAGTACCATAAACCGATTAACCAAAAACCGATTAACCAAAAACCGATAAGAAATATGTTATTGGTTTGGTTATCGGTTTGACGTATTTACAAACCGAAAACCGATAAACCGAACCAATAACACATAAAACCGAACCGAACCGACCAATGCGCACCTTACTTGTGGGAATGAATAAGCTATATATAAAGCAAATGACTTTTTTTTCTTCTCATTATGAAGACCCGATTTAAATTTGTTACCCATGAATATAGCAAATTATTAATCTAACGCGTTTTCTAGTTCAATTCCCTTTTTTCCAAAAGCAATATTATGATGTTTTAAAGATAAATTGAAAAAATCACTTACCATAAAGTGTTACATACCTTCTTAAAGAACTTTGGTTTTTTCAAAACGAAAGATTGTTAAGATGGTTTATAGTAATGGTGATGGTACTTCTTGCAACAATATTCCCCAGGCTCATCTAGCTGGCGGATTCTCTCTTATATCAAAGTGTTGGTGACTCTGAATGGTCGCGGGAGAAAGGTTGGTGGGGTGAACTGGCACGCCACGTGGTTAAAATAGATGAGGTTAACAAAGGAATGACAAAAATTGTAGTCATTTGTATAACGTTAGGGACATATATATACTGATGATATTACAACGGAGGATAATATTTTAAAATTTTCAATAGCAGAGGGACAAGTACTGATCCTTCCCCCTTTTAACTAATCATATGGAGTAAATGAACTAGAGAGACTAAGGGAAAAAAAAAACAAAATGAAACTCAATACTAACACAGCATAAATGTATTTTTCACAAGCAAATTCAATGGCATCTTGTGCAATCCAGCATGTCACTGTTATCAAGGACTGTGAACTTGGATATCATAAGTAATTAACAAAAGTAAATATATAATACTAACTTGATTTTGAATCCCTGCATACCAGTCCATACCAAACAACGAAAATTGAATCGAACCCAAGAAACCAATGCAGGCTCGAGTGTGTTTGATTTATATCAACTTATAGTATGCAAAAACCAGCACAGGTATTCCAGCAAAAGTGTCATTCTCAATGGTGACATGGACATAACATATCATAAGAGCTATTGTAATGTTAATTGTCCTCCTGAACGATTATCTTTTGGATTAACAGTAGCTGATAAATTATACTCATCTACCCGTAGCAAAGGCCTCTGCCCTTGGAAATGCACTCAGAAGTCATTTCATCAGTGGATTGTCCAGTAAATAAATGTCAAAATCCTGAGGCTCAAAGGTAAAACAGATCTCATCGCTGTCTTCCTTTTTTTCTTCTTTTTAAGTCAGAATTTGAGGGTACAAAGTAACAACAATCTGTTTGTGACATATGAATGATATACATTATGCCGTGATCCTGCATTGCTCCAAACGTTGGATTAGACCATACAAGTTTTACCTTTGAGATTATTAGTGGTGTCTCCCATAGCTGTTCCATAGATATTGGCTGGATCCAACTGTAAAAATCCTATGAAAGCAGCCAGCTTGACTTTTCCTCACGACATGCTGTGAAACAAGATTTCTGGTACTTGGAAAGGACATCCAACATAACATTACATTTTGCCATTTAGCGTGTTCCGTTTGAGGAATAAACCACTTCAGAAATAGACATCCTTATCATTCTTCCATATCACTAATGGTCTTGGAATTCCTTAAGCTCTCACAACCTGGACAATTGTGCAAGCTCTCATGTATATAAATATCACAATCAAGACAGAAGTGTTGTTTGCAGTTTGGACAAGCAACCTGCGGACCTGGCAAATTTCCTGCATCAAATCAAATAAAGAAAAAAGTGAAACAAGCAAAATGTGAGAATATCCTGATGAATGAAGAGCAAAG